TGGAATGTCCCTTAGTTTTAGTTTGTCTAATGTGTTCTCATGACTAGAATAGGGTTGGGGGTTAGCAGAGGAATAGCATAGAGGTGAGGCACCCTTTTCCATGCATGATGTCAGGTGGCACATGGTATCAGTGTGATTTATCACTGGCCAATACAAACTTGTACCTCTTCATTAAGTGATGTCTTCCGTATTTCTCCACTGTAAAATATTTCTCCCATTCTATAATTTTGTTCTCTGAACTCTGGATGGGGTTACTAAGGTCAGCCCACACCCAGTGGCAGTGAAATTAAGTTCTCCTTTTCAATCCTTCCCTAACATACTCCCCCTACAATCCTTGACTATTGATCTGTTTTCTGTTACTATACATTAGATTGCATGTGCATTACTTTCTGTCTGTGTATTTAATTCAGTATAGTTATTTTGAGATTAATTCATGTTGCTGATTGTATCACTAATTTCCTCCTTTTGATTGCAGAGTGGAACTATATTCTACGTATATACTAACATTTGCGTGTTAATTTATCTGTTGATGGGCATTTAGGTTATTTCCAGTTTGGATCTTATATTAATTTCCTGGAATCACTATAAACTATCACAGAATGGGTGTGGGCATTGTGGCCCAGCAAGTTAAGCTGCTGTTGGCATGCCCAGGTCCCATGTGGTAGTGCCAGTCTGAGTCCTGTCTACTTTGTGCTTCCACTCCAGCTTCCTGTCAACGTGCCTGCAAGGCAGCAGATGATAACCCAACTATTTAGATTCCTGCTGCATGGCAGACCCAGAAGGAGTTCCGTTCTGGTGGCTTCAGCCTGGCTGAGACCTGAATGTTGCAGGCATTTGGGTAGTAAATGAGCCAGAACTGGGTCAGGCTGAAACCAGGAGCCCAGAACAACATCCAGGTCTCCCACATGGGTGGCAGGGCCCAAGTACTTGAGTCATCACCTGCTGCCTCCCAGGCATATTAGCAGAAAGCTGGAGGGAAGCTGAGTAGGTGGGACTCGAGCAGGCACTCCGATATGGGATGTGGGTGCCCAAGCAGTAGCTTAACCCACTATGCCATTTCTTCTTTGACTGATGAATTATTTAGAGTTGTTTTGTTTCCAAAAATTTACAGTTTTTCTGTAGATTGTTCTGATTCTAATTTAATCCCAGTGTAGTCAGAGAACCTACTATATGATTTTAATCCTCCTCAATTTACCGAGATTATTTTATAACCATAATATAGTCAGTCTTGGGTGAATGTTGCATGTGCTCCTGAAACGAATGTGTTCTGTTGCTGTTATATGGAATCAAATTGGTTAATAGTGTTTTTCAATCTGCTATATTTTTACCTATTTTCTGTTAATTTAATCCACAAGGAAGATATATTGAAAACTCATTATAATTGTGGATTTGTCTTATGGTCTTGGCCTTCACAAGTTCAAATATTGTCAATTCTATGTCATGGATTATGTCTAAATGACTATACATGCTCCAGATCTGAAGACAAAATTAGGGATGAATGTTGTGGCACAGAGGGTTAAGCCACCCCTTAGATCACCCACATTCTATATTGGAGTGCTTGGTTCAAGTGACAGCTGATGCCCTTCCAATCCAGCTTCCTGCTGATGCACCTGGGAGGCAACAGACAATGGTCCAAGTACATGGTTCCCTGCCATACAAGTGGGAAACCCAGATGGAGTTCCAGGCTCCTGGCTTCAGCCTGGCCCAACTCTGGCTATTGTGGGCATTTGGGGAGTGACCCAGCAGATGAAAGAACTCTCTCTCTCTCCTCTCTTTGTCACTCTGCCTTTCAAATAAATAAAATTTTTTTAAAAAAATATAAAGCCAAAATTACAATTTTAGTTTAAAGGTCATACTTGGCTTTTTTTTTCCCAATTCTAAAAATTAGTTAGCACTTCATTCCATAAAATGGAGTAAGTTCCAATGGGCTTATTATAGGGGGTCGGTTGTTTAGACAGAGAAGAGCTGCAAAAAGCAGAAACAGAATAAAAAGCAGATTGGTTATTTCAAAGTGACTTTGTTTGGGGGCCGGCACTGTGGCACAGTGGGTTAACGCCCTCGCCTCAAGCTCTGGCATCCCTTATGGGCACCGATTCTAGTCCCGACTGCTCCACTTCCGATCCAGCTCTCTGCTATGGCCTGGGAAAGCAGTGGAGGATGGCCCAAGTACTTGGGCCCCTACACTCTGGTGGGAGACCCAGAAGAAGCTCTTGGCTCCTAGCTTCAGGCTTCGGATCAGTGCAGCTCCGGCCATTGCAGCCATTTGGGGAGTGAACCAGCGGTTGGAAGACCTCTCTGCATCTCCTCTATCTGTGTAACTCTGACTTTCAAATAAAAAAAATAAATAAATCTTTTTTAAAAAATAGAAAAAGTTACTTTGTTTGTAAAACAGGGATGAGGGAAGAGACCAAGCAGTAGAAAAATAGCTGATTGGCTAACATTAGGTTACTTCTGGTTACCTTTTTTGTGTTAGGATTAACGGAAAGGGAACCTCATTGTCATGCCAGTTGAGACTGTCCAGTTTGGGAAATTTAGCTCTTATTCCTCCTGGTTTCTTAGGAAATTAGAATAACAGCTTTGTTTTGATTTGATGACATGAAATTTTAGCCTTGGTAACTTCCTTTTGATTTTCAGTCTGATTGTTGGAGCTCAAGTGTTTTTGTTAACACTTCTGTCATAGTGAATTCACCCTTTAATCTGTTGAACTCATGGAGGAAGGAGCTAACGATCTCATTTCAGCCTGGGACTGATCCACGGGATGGAGGGAGAATGGGGAGATGGGTTTAATGGGAATGAGTTGGAAGCAGTTGAACTCTGATTTGTTCCCTTTCTTGGGGAATGGGCCTTTAGGGCTTTTGAGAAACAAGAATTTGTTTTCTTCAAGATTTTCTGCAGTGTATGTTCTGCCCTTAGGAAGTTTTCAGTCTCCTACCTCAAGCAGCTTCAAAAGTTGGCTCCTATGTTGAGGGAAGAGAGAGACCGAAGATGCTTCCATTTGACTCCTGAAGTATTCTATTTGTCTCACAACACAGCCCCACCTACTAAAATCTCTAGTGATTTAATTGTTCCCTGTCCTGGGACCTTCTGCCCTGAAGCCTATCCTTGATCCTTCCTTCCTTCCTTCCTTCCTTCCTTCCTTCCTTCCTTCCTTCCTTCCTTCCTTCCTTCCTTCCTTCCTTCTTTCCCTCCTTCCCTCCTTCCCTCCTTCCCTCCTTCCCTCCTTCCCTCCCTCCTTCCTCCTCCTCTGAATTTCCACTAAGATATAAATCTTAGTTTACCTAACTTCATCTTATTTACTATGATTTTATTATTTTTGAATATATATCTGCCACATTTTTCAAATGCATGTTTTACCTTCTTTACTGTTATTAACTGAGGAATCACAGGAATCATTTAAAATTTTTAAAAAAATTTATTTGAAAGGCAGACAGATAGAGATTTCCCATTTAATGATTTACTTCCCAAATGCCTAAGATAGCCCCTAAGGGGCTGGGCCAGGCTGAAGCCAGGAGCCCAGAACTCAATCATTGTCTCATGTGGATGTCAGGGATCCAAGTATTTGAGCCATCATCTGCTACTGCCCAGGATGCAAATTAGCAGGAAGCTAGGATAGGAAGCAGAGCTAGAATTCAAACCAGACACCCCAATATGGGATATGAGTGTTCCAGGCAGTGTTTGAACTGCTGTACCAAATGTGCCCCACAGGAATAATTTTTCCAAAAAAATTAAAAAAGCAGTCTATAGGGCTTCAACTTTAGTCAATACAGAGACTATAACTACAAAGCACTTTACTACCCTAAAATAAGGAGATTCTGGAAGAATTATTTTACTTTTTAAAATTTTAATGTATTTATTTTAGAGATAGACAAATACACATATACACACAGAGCATATGGGAGATTTCTCTCTCACTTTCTGTCTCTCTCTGTCACTCACATAAATAATAAAATTTTAAAAATAAAAATATTGCTGTTGGCCGGCGCCGCGGCTCAATAGGCTAATCCTCCACCTAGCGGCGCCAGCACACCGGGTTCTAGTCCCGGTCAGGGCACCGGATTCTTTCCCGGTTGCCCCTCTTCCAGGCCAGCTCTCTGCTGTGGCCCGGGAAGGCAGTGGAGGATGGCCCAAGTGCTTGGGCCCTGCACCCCATGGGAGACCAGGAGAAGCACCTGGCTCCTGCCTTCGGATCAGTGCGGTGCGCCGGCCGCAGCGCGCCAGCCGTGGCGGCCATTGGAGGGTGCACCAACGGCAAAAGAAAGACCTTTCTCTCTATCTCTCTCTCACTATCCACTCTGCCTGTCAAAAAAAAAAAAAAATTGCTGTTCAAATCCTTCATAAAACCATGAATTACATAACAGATTACATGTGGATGAAAAGAGAATAGTATCATAGAAACTGGATCTGAATAAATTACCTGGAATGTTCCAAGGAAAACAAGGAGATAAAAAGTATGAAAGCGGGATTAAAGATAGATACAAAATAGAACAATAAATCTAATTTATGGATTTCTGGGGGAATTATTAATGAGCATAGATAGATGAAAGGAAATACTGGAGTTAACAGATGATAATTTTCCAATTCTGATGAAAGATACTGGTAGAGAAAAACTATCTGAGTAGATGCAGAGTATCATGATTTTGGAGTAGTAGGCTCCTACATGGAGTTACCCATGCCAAAATTCCAGAACAACAACCTAGACTAGCAAATCAGGAGAATGAGAGACAGCTTGGTTTCCCAAACAGACAATGGTTGGGCAATGAAGTTCCCTGTGCTTTCATCCTTACATGATTTAATCATCACAAAAAGAAACTTGAAGTAGCCTGACATGAACCAATCAGCTATTTTCTATTCTGTTTCTCTGTCCATGATTTCAAGGAAAGTAACTTAGAATGACCAATCTGGGGCTGGCGCCATGGTGCAGTAGGTTAATCCTCTGTCTGTGGCGCCGGCATCCCATATGGGTGCCGGATCAAGTCCCGGCTGCTCTTCTTCCAATCCAGCTCTCTGCTATGGCCTGGAAAACGGTAGAAGATAGCCCAAATGCTTGGGTCCCTGCACCTGCATGAGAGACCAGGAAGAAGCACCTGGCTCCTGGCTTCAGATTCAGCCGTTGCAGCCATTTGGGGAGTGAACCATGGAAGGAAGACCTTTCTCTCTGTCTCTCCCTTTCACTGTAACTCTACCTCAAATAAGTAAATAAAATCTTAAAAACAAAAAAAGAAATGACCAATCATTTTGTTGTTTGCTTCTGTTTTCTTCTTTTTCTATAAAACTTGCCTTTTGTTCAGCCCATCAAAATGCTTATTCTATTTAATGGAATGAAGTTTTGCTTGATTCTAGAACTGAATATAAAGCCAGTTTAACTGTGCTGATTACTATAATTTTGTCCATTATAATGTCAACCCATAAATACACAAAACATGATTTATAGCAAAATTGATCAATGAAAAGAACTGTAGACCTTTATAGTTTATAGTAAAAATACAAAGGAAATTATTTAAAGCAGCCTAAAAGGAAAAATAATCAACTATAAATGAATGACAACTAAGTTACATATTTTAACAGTAGCAAATGTTGGAAAATACATGTTCATTGATAATATCTCCCAAGTGCTGAAGAACATAAAGATCAAGGGTGGGCATTTGGCATAGCACTTAAGACATTGCCTGGGACACCCACATCCCATATCAGATTGCCTGGCTCCTCTTCTGCCAATCCAGCTTTGTGCTAATATGCACTCTAGGAAGCAGCAGGTGGTGGTTCAAGTACCTGGGTCCCTGTCACTCATATTGAGAGAACTGGATAGAGTTCCAGATTCCTGGCTTTGGCCTGACCCAGCCATGGCTGTTGCAGGCATCTGGGGGAGTGAACCAGCAGATAGATGGAAGGTCTGTCTCTCTCCTTTGAGAAAATAAATAAATAAATTTTTGAAGACTATATATAATAAAAAGTTAAATGATATATCTATATATCAGATATATCAATACTCAATTAATGTAATTGTACTAAAGTTCCAATTAAAATGCAGAAATCATCATATTGTTAGGAATATGCTTTCCAGATGCGGTGGTAGTAGTAGTGAGTATTAGGCTTACTCTCACTATTAACAATTATAACACTGGAAAAATATGCAAAGCAACTCTTTCAGGCATTGGAAAATGCCTTTTAGGTAGTGCTTAGCTGTGATTTTTGACCAGTGGAAATGCATGATGTGAGTTTCATGTTTAACAGAGCTATCCTCCCCAGCTGTGGTACAGGGCACACTTTCCCAGTCATGCTGTGTGGAGGGGGAGCCCAAGAGGAGCATAAAGAGATTGCTAAGCTGAGGAGACAGAGACCAGATCCAAACTGCTCTGGGGTTTGATCAGGAGGCTGGGTAGAAACAGGTGCATCAAAAAGGAGGTCAAGAAATATTCAAAAGGATTTCCTTAGGCTTTGGCTGAAACTGATTTGCGTGTACACAGCAACACATGCTCAAGGCCTGACAGAAAACAGCTACTACTGGGTTGTAAGCACACAGCTTCTTGGTCACTGGGAGAGTGATGGGAGACATTCAAGTTCTGACCACAAAAGTAGGGAGACTTTGATATTTTACACCCAGGGCTTCAAGTTTGAATCCCCAAACTTCAATACCTTATGAAAAAGGCTATTTTAATTGTGAAATAAGAAAATTATAGACCAGCCATTTAAAAAGCCAAAAATAGGAGCTGGTGCTGTGGCGTAGCAGGTAAAGCTGCTGCCTGCAGTGCTGACATCCCATATGGGTGCTGGTTCGATACCCAGCTACTCCACTTCCAATCCAGCTCTCTGCTATAGCCTGGGAAAGCAGTGGAAGATGACCCAAGTCCTTGGGCCCCTGCACCTGCATGGGAAGACCCGGAGGAGGCTCCTGGCTCCTGGCTTCAGGTTGGCACAGCTGCGGCCGTTGTGGCCAATTGGGGAGTGAACCTGTGGATGGAAGACCTCACTCTCTCTGCCTCTCCTCCTCCATCTGTGTAACTCTGACTTTCAAATAATAAATCTTAAAAAAAAAAAAAAAAAGCCAAAAACAAGGCTGTAGTATGATAAAGGTGTTCTCAGTTAAATTGATTTCATGCCAGGCAGAAAAAAAAATAAGCCTTAGCATTTTTTTTACAAAATGGCAATGAAATCCTGATGCTCTATAATGCATCTACAATGTATAACAATCAATAAAAATTAGTAGACAGGAGGAAGAAGATACGATAATGAATAGAGAAAGACAGAAAACAAAACACTCCAAAAGCAGCAGAGATTTTTAAAGTACATGAGATCTTTGAGGATCAAAACCATGCCTTTCCCAAGGGGGAAGAATAGGGTAAGACTAAGAGTGTAGGCTCTGGTGTTAAGTGTATTCCTAGGTTCAAATCTCAGATCTGCCATTTGTTAATTATGTGAAATTTGAAAGTTATTTACATTGTTTGATCCCTGGTTTACCTGATCTAAAATGGGGGGAAAAAGACTATCTCACAAGGTTGTCCTAGGATTAAATGAGGTAATGTACAAGGAATGCCTAACACATGAGCAAGAGATCTGTAACTATTATCTATCATTACTCATTTCACCTGGTGCAGCCTGACTTGCTATAGGTGTTCAGTATTTTGAGTGAGGAAAGGAAAGGATGACTCAGGTCTGAATGGTGGATACCAGCTGGTCTAGGAGTAGTGGGCATTACATTGTCAAACCCACTCAACATAACAAGAAACTGGACAAATGGAGGAGAGAGTGATATTCACGGGCTAGGCTCTTGGCATGAGAAGAAGGCACTGAGTACTCATGGTTTGGGGCCACTGTAGGGAGAAGGGAAGGCCAAATGGTGCCCAGCCCAGCTGGAACCATCTGCTTTATCTACTGCTATCTGTTACTGATTAACTATTGGGCATCCCTCTTGCCACATCCTCCTACTCAGACACAATGAAATTTAGAAGTAACATGACTTTAGGAAGAACTGTACAAAGTGCAGGTACCTGGAAGTTGTAGAGATGCCAGCAGCAACGATAAATGAGATCAGAAACACTTTCTTCCTGTGTACTTTGATAGAGAATAAAATCCAGGTTGTCCCTTGGAGTAAACAAAGACAGGGAACCTTCTGGGCATGGTGTGGAACTCTCTTTAAAATCCCAAAAATTGGCCGGCGCCGCGGCTCACTAGGCTAGTCCTCCGCCTAGCGGCGCCGGCACACCGGGTTCTAGTCCCGGTCGGGGCGCCGGATTCTGTCCCGGTTGCCCCTCTTCCAGGCCAGCTCTCTGCTGTGGCCAGGGAGTGCAGTGGAGGATGGCCCAGGTGCTTGGGCCCTGCACCCCATGGGAGACCAGGAAAAGCACCTGGCTCCTGGCTCCTGCCATCGGATCAGCGCGGTGCGCCAGCCGCAGCGCGCCGGCTGCGGCGGCCATTGGAGGGTGAACCAACGGCAAAGGAAGACCTTTCTCTCTGTCTCTCTCTCTCTCACTGTCCACTCTGCCTGTCAAAAAAAAAAAAAAAAATCCCAAAAATGGGATCAAACCTGATCACTTGGAATCTGAACCTTACTGGGTACAAACCTGCTTGTCTGCAGGTTTAGCAAAAGGCATGAAGGTAGTACACAGACGGCTGGAATTTATGAAAAGTTATGTGAAATGAAATTAAAATGGCCTTGTTTGTTGCAAGACTTCTCAAGGATTTGGGGCATTTTGGGCGAGGTTGATGGGCATTCTGCCCCTTCAGGAAGGGGTTTGGCATCTAGCATTTATTAAGTCATTCGATTATCACTCCTCTCTCCCCCTTTCTTTAATAGCAGAGCACCTTCCTGTTAGGTACTAATCTGGAGAGAATACCTCAGGAAATGCTGATGAGAAGTGCCCAGGCAACTTTTAGAGCAGACCTTCTTGGGGTGTTGGTCCCTTCTCCTACCCTAGATTTGATGGAAAGTCTTAGAAGGGAGTATAAGTATGGAGCTGGAAGTGGCCTGTGAATAGTTTTATATGATAGTTCGAAGAACCTTGTTCCTTAAATATAACGTGATGTTGTAGGTTGAATCCTAAAACACAGAAAAAACAGTGGAAAAAAAACTAGTGAAATACAGTCTGAAGTTTAGTTAATACTAGTTACAAGTAGTAGCAGAGTCTGGAGTTTAGTCAGTAGCAATATACAAAGGTTAGTTTCTTCATTTTGCCAATGAATCATGTTAACGGAAAGGAAAGCTAGGGGAAACTAGCTGAGGGGTTATATGGAACTTCCTGTACTACCTCTTCAACTTTTCTGTGAATCTAAAGCAATTGTACAGTTTTAAAATATTAATTTTACAAAATCACATTAGACCAAAGTTTGATCTGCTCCTACCATAGTTACTAGGTAAGTGATTTTAGGAAAGTGATTTGACTTCTCTAATTTTTTGTTTCCTTGTTATAGTAGCTCTATTTCAATAGTTTGATGGAAATGTTGAATTAGATTTTGAAAATAAAGTGCCTAGCACACTACCCAGGCGTGGAGTAAGACATTAATCCATGTAAGGTAGTCAAAGGTGCATGGGGACCAGGCAACCTGCCTCTTGCAACTTCCTGGGAAACCTCGCATGCTGGAGTCAGGAGCTGTGTGGACCTGCAGTAGATGGAGCTATGGGGCCAGAAGGCAAATCCTCAAAGCCTGGAAACATTCATTCCCCACTCATTCTTTCACCTGACCTGGCAGAGGAGGAAGCAGGAAAGAGCAGTTAAGCTGAGTAGGAACTGTGAGCTGGAGGAATCCTCTCCTCCTCACTCAGCCCTACTGAGACCCCTCCATGTGCCTCTGCTGGTTCTGAATTTGCCCCAGGAAGAAGGCCCTGCTAACACTGCTAAGGGGCCATTTTCCACCCTCATCTACATTTTCACTGGTCATCCAGCCCTCTCAGTCACAGCCGAGCGCCTCCAACATTCTTCAACTTCAAATTAAGTTTAGGGCCAAAGTCCCCATGGGGCCAGAGACAAGACAACTCTGTAGACCGGAGAGGGAAGCCCTGAAGGTGCTCACCCTAATGTGAGCGGGGAGGCGGCAGGCCTTGGTGAGCGAGGCTGGTAGACTCGGGGAAGGCTTCAGCTGAGAGCGGAGTGCAAACCCTCCCTGAGTCTGAGCTGCCTGCTGTATGCGCAGACATTGGCATTTATGACAGGCTTATCACAAAGTCTGCAGGTTATTACATCTCACCATAAATAGTAATTGGAGGGATTGAAGGGAAGCGAGACCTAAGAGAAACTGGAATGGAGATAAGCATCAAGAAAAACAACAATCACAGTTTTATGAGGGGCTCTCTTCTCAGGGAAACTTTGTCCACCCAAAGCGTTGGCACAGAACCTGAAAGACAAAAGCTATTATCAATACTATTCATTAAAAATGAATATATGCAACACATGAGATTGTCTTCAAGGAAGAGTTAGTGTAGGGTGAAGGAGACGACAGTGGCAACTTGGTTTGGACCATGTATTGACTGAGTGGTGAAGGGCAAGTGTATTCGGAATCATAGGTAGGCAAAATTGTACTATCTTTTCCTACCTGTTACAGAAATATTATTGCTTCTTTGTATATCAGTTTTTTCTAGCTTTCCTAAATCCACTTACCAATTTCAATGCTTTTAACCAATCCTTTTTGGTTTTAGTATTGAAACTATATCATCTCCAAATAATGATTTTTGTTTCTTCCTTTTTTATATCCATTCCTCATTTTTACTTCCTTTCTTACTGCATTGAAAATAATTTTCAAAACAGTAAATAATTATTATAATAATTAATGGGCATCATTGTGGCCTCTCATGTTTCTCCTTTAATATGGTTTAGATTAATTACTCTTTAGCATATCCACTCATTTTTCCTACATGGTAATTTATTGCTCCCCCTCTCTGTCAGTTTAAATGCTAGTCATTCTATAAAGATCATCTGAATCACACCATTTTTACAAAGTTTGTGTGTATAAAAGCACATAGACATGGACACCCAGCCAACCTTAATGAAGTTCTTTGTAGTTCACACAGGACTTTCGTACACAGATTCTCGTTTGATGCTCTCAATAGCCTATGAAGTAGGTATTGTTAGGACATCATTTTTTTTTAATTAATTAATGAGGCAGGGAGAGGCAGGGAGGGCTGGTTCACTTCCCAAATGCCAGCAATGCCTGAGGCTGGACAAGGCTGAAGACAGGAGCTCAGAACGCCATCAAGGTCTCCCATATGGGTAGCAGGGACCCAAATATCTGAGCCCTCACTGCTGCTTCCCAGGTTGTGCGTTAGTGGGAAGCTGGAATTGGAAATGGAACCGGGATATGAACCCAGGTGCTCTGATATGGAATCAGGCGTCTTGAGAAGCATCTTCACCGCAGGGCAAATGCCCACTCCAGGACTTCCTTTTCACATATAAGAAATACCATTCTTTGTGTGGTTAAGCTACTAGCCCAAGTGATATAGAGAGGGAGGTACTGAGCAAAGAGGAACTGATGGCTGTCAGCCCCTCCACTGCAGCCCAGTGTGCACCACCCAGTCTCTACCTGCTTCTTTGCAGGTACAGCCTGCACCAGAAATATGCAGTATGGCTGCAGTGTGAGTGCCTGCAATAATAATAAAATTACCATGACTGCCACACCCACTCCTATCATATACTTGAACCACACTTTCATCAAGTACCTGATGCCATGACACTTCCAGAATTTCCAAAGGGGAACAGAAGTAGCTGGTACTCAGGCCCCACCCAAACTCTGCCATCATTTGAATATTCAATTAAGCACTGCCCAGATATCACCCTCATGCCTCCAGATCTATTAAAAGGACGACCCTAAACTTTGTTAATTGCTGCTCATTCTCTACTTATTCCTTGAGTATGTTCTTCCACTTTAAATAAATCTTGCTTTCCTGCTCATCTTTATGTCTCTTTCTTGAAATCTTTCTCATTCTTTTTTATAAAAGCCTGGAACAACCTGCCCCACAACACAAGGACAATCTGTTAAATCGAATATGGTTTTGCATTTTAGAAAAAAAGATTTTTGTGTGCCAAGGAATTGCAATAATTGATATATCCAAAGTGTCACATCCAACTGTCAAATAAGGTGTTAAAAAATATCTTCAAGGTTCAGCAAAATCGGTGGGCTTAACCCCACCCAGGAAAGTTCTGCTTAGTATGCCAGCAGGTCCTGTAGTCTGGGCTAAGTCAATTCCACTGCAATTTCAGCAGTGATTTCTAATTGGCCCTGAGACTTTGAACCCTTTCCATCAAAAGTCAAAGTTCTCAATATGTAATTGGCTGCACTGGATCATGCTGCACACTTTGGCTGCTTGGGATTAGGGAGTGAACCACTTAACACACTTTTAAGGAAGACAAGTGAAAGTCCCTTAAAAAGGGCAAAACTCTAGGTGTCAGAGTTCTCTATTCTGGCTGCACAATGGGATCATCTTTAAAAGATCAGAATCTTAGTGGTGGGAGAGGGATCTCTTCATTTCGAATGCAACAGGTGATCTTTAAACTCACTGAAGTCTGAGAAATCCTAGGTCCTTCTTTATATTGAGGAGGGTTGGGGGTGGAGTCAGAGAAACACTTTGTCTTCTGATCTTGCTGAGGAAAGGTCAGGAAAGTCTTTACTATGTAAACAGCACATAAAATCACAACTACACAGTGAAATTATGAGTCTGACAAATCACAAGTCTAATGGATGAAAATGACGGACAGGGGGCCGGCGCTGTGGCACACTAGGTTAACCCTCCGCCTGTGGCGCCGGCATCCCATACGGACATCAGGTTCTGGTCCCGGTTGTTCTTCTTCCAGTCCAGCTCTCTGCTGTGGCCCTAGAAGGCAGTGGAGGATGACCCAAGTGCTGACCCTGCACCCGCATGGGAGACCAGGAAGAGGCACCTGGCTCCTGGCTTCGGATCTGCGTAACTCTGGCCATTGTGGCCATTTGGGTGGTGAAGCAACAGAAGGAAGACCTTTCTCTCTGTCTGTCTCTCTCTCTCTGTAACTCTACCTGTCAAATAAAAAAAAAAATCTTAAAAAGAAAATGATGGACAGAACTGTATGGACAGAAAATGATGGACAGAAAGAAATGTATGTCTTCCTATGATTTCCCAATCATATCTTTTCTCTCTAGTTTGTTTCCCTTTCCTGGCTCATTTGCCCAAGACACCCTCGGGGTCTGACAGGGAAAGGTGGCTGTGGGAAGCGGACACTGAGCCTGATAGGTGAGGAAGCAATTCTCTCATATAGAGCCATTTCTGCCCTCCACTGGCCCTGAGCCCTGACCTCCTAGAATCTCACTCTTGTAGCTGCTGCCAAGACTGGAGAGAGCTTGACATTTGATTCCTCTTTGTTAGCACAGGTCCAGGATGAGCTTCAAAGAGGGAAGCAGACTCTACTACAACCACGTTTGAGGTCCATTGTTAATACAGATCCACATCATTTAACATGGGGGATCCATTCTGAGAAACGTGTCATTAGGGTACTGCATCATTGTGCAAACATCATAGAGTGTACTTAAACAAACCTAGACGGTATAGCCTACCACATACCTAGGCTACACGAGATAGCCTGTTGCTCTTGGTTACACACTTGTATTGCATGTTCTTATACTGAATACTGTACCGGGGGTGGGGGACTTTTTTTTCTTCCCAGGGCCATTTGGATATTTATAACATCATTCACAGGCCATGTAAAATTATCAGCTTAAAAATTAGCCCGCTATATAAAGGTTTATTGAATTTTGAGTCACACCTGCAATTGCTTTAGCAGGGCCAGACCAAATGATTTCATACAGCCCTGTGTAACACAATGGTATTTGTGTATCTAACACAGGAAAGATATGAAAAAAATGCTAGGTGATAGGAATTTCTCAGGTCCATTATAATCTCATGCGATCACTGTGGCATATGGGGTTCTTGTTGGCCGAAACATCCTTATGTGGTTTGTGGTAGTATTTATGATAGAAAATGACATGTGCACAAGACTGGCCATTGTAATAGGTTTGATTACAGAAGACCAAAAATATGAGGATAGAATGAGAACAAACGGAGTTGGGTATTCTTTTACAAGTACTTCTTGTAACCTCTAGTACAATACGCAGAGGGATTGTCCTGCTCCACTCTACTCGACTCTAAACAGCCTTTCTACTGAAACATTTGGGAACAACCGTCTCGGATAACTACATTCCTTCCTCTGAGATCTACATGAGAAACATGGGCAAATTATTTATTTCTGGTTCTTTTATCCCCTTACTGCATGCAAACCAAAATCTACCTTTAACAGATCTCAGTTCTACTCTAATTTGCTACAGTTGATCAAAATATATTCATCTTTTTTATGTTAGACCTGGATTATGATCAAGGAAATTGAAAACTTTTTCTCCTCAAAAACATTTACTACTGGGGCCAGAGCATAGTGGGTAAAACTGTCACAATGCTGGTATCCTTTGTGGTGCCGGTTTGTGTCCTGGCTGCTCTGCTTCTGATCCAGCTCCCTGCTCATGTGCCTGGGAAAGCAGCAGAGGATGGCCTAAGTGCTTGGGCCCTTGCTACCCATATGGGAGACCTAGATGAAGCTCCTGGCTCCTGGGTTCTGCCTGGCCCAGCCCTGGCAGATGTGGCCATCTTGGGAGTGAAACAGTGGATGGAAGATCTCTTTCTCTCTCTCTCTGAGTCTCTCTCTGTGTCTCTCTCTGTGTGTGGCTCTTTCAAATAAATACAATATATAAGTAAAAATAAATAAAATTTAAAAAAATTTTAAAAAGCAGTTACAATTAAATTTTTTCCTTGGAGGAATCCTTTAGGCATATTTCCGTAAGTAGCTAATCCCAGACATTTTGTATTGATGTTAACTTTAGATTTCTGGATATAAATTTTCACGCTGACTACTGAATTTTAGGGATGTTGTTCTTTATGTCTTTTTGTCTCCTGTAAACTGATTTACATGAAAATATAACTGTAAATTTTTTTTCAAGATTCATTTATTTACTTGAAGGTCAGAGTTACACAGAGAGAGGAGAGGTGTGTGTGTGAGGGGGTCTTCCATCCACTGGTTCACTCCCCAGTTGGCCGCAGCAGCCGGGGCTGCGCTGATCCGAAGCCAGGTGCCAGGAACTTCTTCTGGGTCTCCCACATGAGTTCAGGGGCCCAAGGACCTGGGCCATCTTCTACTGCTTTCCCAGGCCATAGCAGAGAGCTGGATTGGAAGTGGAGCAGCCGGGTCTCTAACTGGCAGCCATGTGGGATGCCGGTGCTTCAGGCCAGAACGTTAACCCACTGTGCCACAGCACTAGCCCCAACTATAAATTGTTTTAAAAATTCCAATAGGACTAGATTTCTATGGTAGAAAATATGAAAAAGAAATAATTACCAAAGAAACTAAACCAGTAAATCTACCACTGAGATAAAAATCACAAATCATATTTGGAGTATGTTTTCTTTCCTTAACTGGGGCAATGTTACATATTGAATGTTATATTCTGATTACTTCTACTGTCAGGAAAAATTGTAAAAGATGTTGAAAGGAGAGAAAAAAGATCATTTCATGTCAGGTCTATTGCACATCTCTGCTAAGGGATAGCAATGCAGTGACTCCTGCAGGGTGAAGGCACAAATGACTTCCAGATCCCCAAGTAGAGAAAGTTTTGTGCTTATTTGTCAATTCATTAAAGTATCCCTGCTTGACCGATTCATGTGGGATTCTCTGAATTCTCTTTTAAACTGGTTTTGTATCTTACTGTATCTTATTAATTATTGAGTTAAATAAAATCTTGATGGGTATTTGTCGCTCCCCCTCTTCGTGGAGGAACGACACTGGACCCTGCGCTGTTCTTTTGTCTGCTCGGCCCTCCCCGGGTTTGCTGCTGGTTCTTCCCGGGTTGGCTACCGTCCCTTCCACCTCCGTGGAAGGGCGGTTCCCCCTGCCACATTCCCCACTTCCGCGGGGGAGCGGCACACCGTCGGCCGGCTCTCTCGGGGGCTGCACAGGTGTTCCTTCAGATAGATGTTCCCCTTAGATGTTCCTGGTGCATGTTGTCTCTCTCCTCCTTTATAGTCCTCTTCTGCCAATCCCAACTTGGCTGCCCACACGCCGAGTACGCTGCTCTCCTCCAATCAGGAGCAGGATCAGCTCCTGGAGGTCATCACTCAAGTTGGCAAGAGGCAGCTGCGTAGAAGCTGTTTTCTCCTTTCCCAGCGCCATATTGTGGGAGAGCAGATGCATAGAATGAGTCTTAATTCCAGTAACTTAGTCCAGTCCGGGTTGCTCCCCACAGGTATTTATACTGTATTTGTGTGAGAATCATGATTTTAAAATAACTAACATATCATAAATATTGTTCCTTTAAAAAATTATTCCTGAATATAGTTTCATTGACTCTGGTGTTGCGTCATACAAATGCATGACTGGTGAGCCACCCGCCCTTCAGTGTTCATGGGAATGGGCTCCTGCTGTTCCCCAGGTGCTCAATATTTAGATTGTTTGCCCTTTTTCCTTTGTACACATGAAAAACCAATGTCATGAACATCTTCATTTGTGAGTTCCTTGTCTATATTTTTTTACTCCATAGGATAGGTTTTTAAGACCAGAACTACTGATCTGAGGGTTTATTAATATTTCTAAGTCTTTTGAAAGATGCTGCCCAACTGCTCTCTGGTAGGAAATGCTTTTACCAATGGTGTGAGACTCCTCATCTCATTAAACTCCCACCATCATTTAGCATTATTACTTAAAAGCTTTAGGAAGTTAATAGACAAATGGTATCTTGTTATGAAACTGTTTTGCTTATCAATATTTCCCATATCAATAAGGGTGTGGACTCTTGCCACGAATTCAGAGAATTCTGAATATTGGCTCAAACAGACCAGGCAGTATGGTAAGTTTTAAGGATTTTATTCAGTGAGAGAAATGCATAGGGGAGTGAGGGCTTGGTCTAATGGAGAAAGAAAGGTCTAGAGACTAAGTTGGGGTCCATACCAAGCAGAGAGCAGGCCAGGAGCCACATGCAGAGAGCTTTTGGTTATGAGCAGCCACAAGTAGCTTAGTACAAGCAGCAAAGTGAAGACAGAGTGGGTGGCCCGAAGGCCATGCTCCCAGAGGCGCTGCCAGCAAGGGCAACAAAGGGCAGTAAAGGCAAAGAAGGGAAAAAGGGCCAGGCCCACTGTGTTCTAGGCCTTTTATCCACTTCCAAAGCGGCTTGGTTACGTAGCCTGATTGGCAGGTGGGCATACAGTTGGGGTCAGGTAGGGGGATGAGATCACACAGGGGTGTGGTGAGGGTGTAATCTTCCAGCTCACAAATCTAATCAAAATTTTCCTATCTGCCTGCCTACATCAGTTCTAATTTTTTTTCTAAGTTTCATTTATTTATTTGAAAGTTGGAGTTACACAGAGAGAAGAGGAGAGGTGGAGAGAGAGAGGTCTTCCATCCGCTGGTTCATTGTGGCCCAGTTGGCCAAAATGGCCAGAGCTGCACCTATCCAGAGCCAGGAGCTTCTTCTGGGTCTCCCACTCAGGGGCAGGGGCCCAAAGACCTGGGCCATCTTCCACTGCTTTCCCAGGCCATAGCAGAGAGCTGGATCAGAAGTGGAGCAGCTGGGACTTGAACCGATGCCCATATAGGATGCCAGCACTGCAGGTGGCGGCTTTACCTACTACACCACAGCGCCGGCTCTACTCTTGTTCTAGTTTTTAAAAATCATTTTGTAAAATTGCAGTTAAAAATAAAGTAGAATATTTCATCTTCACCATTTTCAAGTGAACAAGTCAGTTGTGTTGAGTCCATTCACATTGCTGAGCAACGGCTCTCCAAAACCTTTCTGTCTTGCAAATCTGAAAGTCTGCCCCTAGTGAACAGCTCCCACACTTCCCATCCCAGCCCCTGTGACCACCATCTTGCCTTCTGTCTCTATGAACTGAACTACTTTAGAAACCTCATGTAACCACTTCTTTTTGTGATAGACTTATTTCACTTGGCATAACATCCTCAAGATTCATCCATGTTGTAGCAAGTGAAAGATGTTCCTTATTTTGTAAAGAATTATATTCACTGAAGTTATATACCACACTTTGTTTATGCATTGGTGGGCATTTGGATTGTTTCTACTCCAGGAGTATCATGAATAATGCTGCTGGGAACATAGCTGTGCAAATATTTAAGACTTCGCTTTTTAATTATTTCAATATGTATATATACAAATATATGTGTGTATATATATACACATACTCAGAAACGGGATTGCTGTAAGCATGTTGGCACTTGACAGTGAAGCTGACCCTGACTTCCTCTGAAGAAGGAATTCAGGAGCAAGTCAGCAAACATTTTATTGAGAAAGAGAAAGGAGTGTGGGCCTACTTGGTGGAGAGTGGCTCTGTCTCTGAACTACATTTTAACATATGGGTCATTTAATAAAAGGGAAGAATATTCATGGTTTTCTGGGAAGTAGGTGGAGATTTCCCAGAATCTAGCTAACCTGCTCCATATATGATCTGATATTTCCTGTGATGGCCACTGGGAGGTATGTTATTTAGTTTTCTAATGTACTACAATGAATGTATAATGAACTGTGGGTAAATCTAGGTCAGCCTTAGTCCCCTACAGTGGTGTGAACCTTAAGCAGGCAGGGAGTCTGTTTATCCTCAGAGCAAAGGAATCCAATCTTGTATCCTATAGGTTTTGAGATAATAAAACTACTACCTCCAAGTGGCTCAGCTGCTTCCTCTACCTCCCTGTGTCAATATGAGAGCAGTGAACAGGGCTTCCAGTTTCTCCAGATGATCAGCAATATTTGTTATTTTCTGGTTTGTTCATTTGCTTTTCAAATTATTTGAAAGGTAGAGAGACAAAGAGAGAAAAAAAGAGTCTGCTGGACTTGAACCCATGCCCATATGGGATGTTGGTGCTGCAGGCAACAGCTTTATCCACTGTACCACAGAGCTGGCCCCCATTCAAATCCATTTAAAAAGTTTTTTAAAGTTGAATTTGAAAGGCACAGAAATGAAGGGCAGAGAAAAACCTTCCATATTCTGGTTCATCTCCCAAATGCCAGCAATTAGCCACGCCTGAGTGGGGCAGAAGGCAGGAGCCAGGTCTCCCATGTGGGTGACAGGGACCCAAGTTTTTAAGCCATCACCTCCTGCCCCCAAGCTATGCATTAGCAGGAAGCTGGAATTGGTAGTGGATCAGGGATTCAGACACAGGCGCTCCGACACAGGATGCAGCCATCCCAGTGGTGTCTTAACCACTGTGCCAAACACCACCGCCCCCACCCCTGTCCATTTTGTAAGATCATCTGAACAGTGGTCTTCATTACCTGTGACATCGTCTCATCTACGGGAATACGAATTGACTCATTTTCTCTTTTTTGCTTTAGCATTTACAATCAGATTTACATAAATCAAATCTAGGGGGCTGGCAGTATGACACAGTGAGTTAAGCTACTCCCTGCAATGCCAGTATGGGAGCTGGTTCTAGTCCTGGCTGCCCCACTTCCAATCCAGCTCCCTGCTAATGCACCTGAGAAAGCAGTGGAAGATGGCCCGGGTAATAGGGCCCCTACCACCCATGTGGGAGACCCAGATGAAACTCCTGACTCCTCACCATTGCAACCATTTGGGGAGTGAACCAGCAGATGTAAGATATCTTTTTCTCTCTAAGTAACTGCCTTTTAAATAAAAATAAGTAAATCTTTATTTTTTTAAAGATTTATTTATTTATTTGAAAGTCAAAGTTACAGAGAGGAGAGGCAGAGAGAGAGAGAGAGAGAGAGGTCTGCCATCTGCTGGTTCACTCCCCAATTGGCCTCAACGGCTGGAGCTGTGCCAATCCAAAGCCAGGAGCCAGGATCCTCTTCCCGGTCTCCCATGCGGGTGCATGGACCCAAAGACTTGGGCCATCTTCTACTGCTTTCCCAGGCCATAGCAGAGAGCTGGATCAGAAGTGGAGCAGCCGAGGCTTGAACTGGTGCCCATATGGGATGCTAGCACTGCAGGTGGCAGCTTTACCCATTATGCCACAACGCTGGCCCCATAAGTAAATATTTTTTAAAAATCAAATTTAACTGATTTGAATCTACTGAATGGTTGGCTACCTACAATTCTAAATATATAGAATATATATCTGTAGCCTTTGACTATTTGGGACAACAGTTTTTTGTTTTTTGTTTTTTGTTTTGTTTTTTTTTTTTTTGACAGGTAGAGTTATAGACAGTGAGAGAGAGAGAGACAGAGAGAAAGGTCTTCCTTCCACAGGTTTACTCCTCAAATGGCCGCCATAGCTGGTGCTGTGCCAATCTGAAGCCAGGAGCCAGGCATTTCCTCCCAATCTCCCATGGGGGTGCAGGGGCCCAAGCACCTGGGCCATCCTCCACTGCCCTCCTGGACCACAGCAGAGAGCTGGACTGGAAGAGGAGCAACCGGGACTAGAACCTGGTACCCATATGGGTTGCCGGCGCCACAGGCAGAGGATTAACCAAGTGAGCCATGGCACCAGCCCATCAGAGGTTTTTTAATCTTTCAGTGCAGCCACTGAGACACAGTATAAAACAGATCGTGGTGCAGTGGGGTAAGCTACTGCTTGGAACACCCACATCCCATATTGGAGTACCTGGGATCAAATTCTGGATCCAACTTGCTGCTTACTTGGAAGGCAGCAGATGATGGCCTAAGTATTTGGGTTCCTGCCACCCATGTGGGGAATCCACGTGGAGCTCCTGGCTCCTGGCTTTGGCCTGGCCTAGCCCTGGCTGTTGCAGGCATTTGGGGAGTGAACTGGCAAATAGAAGATCTCATTCTGTCTCTCCCCCTCTCTCTGTCCTTCTGCCTTTCAAATAGATAAAACTAATCTTTAAAAAACAAAACAGGCCATGTATGACAATAGGACTCTGTCCTGCAGCCTCTGCAGCTACCCACCCCAATAGCCAAGCCACGCCTTCTGCAGCAGTCCACTCAGAATCGCAAGGACTTGCTTGCTCCCTTACCTTTTTAACCCCTCCCGCCAACTTCCAACTCAAGGCCAACCAGAGAAAGCCAAATATCACCTTAGATGCCTCGCTTCTAGTTAGCCTGTCTCCCCTCCAGCTTCCTGAGCCCAAAATCTCAACTCAGAGCAGAGGTGAAACCTTCAATTTTTTTTCATTATTAAGCTCTGCCACTCCCCTGGCAGGGTTTGAATCTCTGCCAAAAGCAAGAGACTGGTTGGCTCCTGTGCCATAGCAGGCCCTGAGTCCTGCCGGGTAGGACTTCATTTCCGCACCACATGTGTTGCATGTCCTTTTCATTCTTGGTTGCTTTTCTTGAATTTTAGTTCTTGAAAATGATTTTATGATTTGTTTATAATGTTTTAATATACATGATTTGGATTTTTCTGTAATCTAATCTACTCAACATCTCAAAAGTGAGACTTTCCACTAGTTATTTGCTTGGCAAATCATTATGACAATGTGGGTCTGATACAGACATTAGCCTCTGTTCTTTCTCCCAGTCCCACTAAGAGACAACATAGAGAAATAAGGGCATAACCCCCTGAGGAAAGGGCAAAGAAAACGGGTCAGCTGCCTCCCTATGTAGTCAGTCCTTTTCTTTTTAAAAACCTTGTTTATTTTATTTGAAAGGCAGAGTTATACAGAGAAGAGAGAGAAGTCTCCCATTGCTGGTTTACTTCCCAGTGGCTGCAATGACCCCAGCTGGGCTGGTCCAAAGGCAGGAGCCAGGAGCTTCTTCCAGGTCCCCCACGTAGGTGCAGGGGCCCAAGCTCTTGTGTCGTCCTCAGCTGCTTTCCCAGGTGCATCTGAAGAGGGGCAGCTGGGACCCAAACCAGTGGTCATATGGACTGCTGGCACTGCAGGCAGTGGTTTACCCATTGCTCCACAATGCCAACTCTGCAGTCAGTTCTTGTCTCCTGCTCCCTGTTGGAAGAGTGGCAGCCAGAGTTATGCTTTCCAGGTAGGAGAAGGGAAGTCTGCCCAGAATACTGATGATAACTGTAATAGCTAATGTTTGTTTAGTGATTATGTATGCTCAATACTGTTTTATATACAGAACTCTGTTTAGTTTTCATACTTGGGGAGGCACTGTAATCATCTCCATTTTACAGGTAAGGAAACTGTGCCCGAAGAGGTTAGGTGAATTAACCAGAGTCACTGGGCAGATGGTGCTGGAGCTCAAACTGTGCGCTCTCAATAACTACCTTATTATCGCTCACTCGCTCACTCTTTTAAAAAAATATGTATTTATTTGAAAGTCAGAGTTACATAGAAAGAAGGTGGGAAAGAAAGTGAGGAAGAGAAGGAGAAAGGGAGAGAGATCCGCCATTTGCTGGTTCACTTCCCAAATGGCGACATCGGCCAGGGCTGGGCCAGGCCTAAGCCAGGAGCTTCATTTATATCTCTCGTGTTGGGTGGCAGGAGCCCAAACATTTGGGTCATCTTCTGCTTTTCTCAGGGCATTAGCAGGGGGTGGATTAAAATGAAGCAGCCAGGACTTGAACCTGTGTCCTTATGGAATGCCAGCATCACAAGCAGTGGCCTTACTTGCTATACCACACTTGCCACTGAAGTCTTTTTTAGGAACGATTTAAAGATAGTGACCTCAAGTGTTTCTCATAAAACAGTCCATTCTGATCACTCCATGATGAAACCTCCAGGTGAAAAGTCCCCCTCAGACCCAGAACTTCCAGTCACTTTCCTATTGATCCAGTCTTAGACAGGAGCAAGTTGTGAAGACTTTACACATTAAGGAAGTTTTAAAAATTACTTTATTAAAATGTATTCATTTTCATTTATTTGAAAGCAGAGACAGAGAGAAAGACAAAGAGAGAGAGAGAGTTCCCATCTGCTGGTTCAATCACCAAATGCCTGCAACAGCCAGGGCTAGGCCAGGCCGAAGCCAGGAACCAACACCATCCAGATAGCCCATGTGGGCCAAAGGGAACCAAGTACTTGACCAATCACCTGTGGCCCTCAGGGTCTGTATTGACAGAAAGCTGGAATTGTAGTGAAGCTGGTGCTCAAACAGGCATTCTGATAGGGGACACATGTTCCCCAGAGACATCCTAACCGCTAGGTCTACGGCTGCCAACCCCTAGTTTCTTTTTCTTCCTTTCTTTTTTCCTTTCTTTTTTCCTTCCTCCCTCCCTCTTTCCCTCCCTCCCTCCCTTTCTTTCTTTTAAAGATTTATTTATTTGAAAGGCAGAGAGAGAGAGAGAGAGAGAGATGTCTTCCATCTGTTAGTTCACTCCCCAGATGCAGCAGTGGCCGGAGCTGGGCCAATCCAAAGCCAGGAGCCAGGAACCTCTATGGGTCCCCCACGTGGGTGCAGGGGCTAAAGGACTTGGGTCATCTTCTACTGCTTTCCCAGGCCATAGCAGAGAGCTAGATCAGAAGTGGAGCAGCCAGGATAGAACCGGCACCCATAAGGGATGCCAGCACCTCAGGCAGTGGCTTTACCTGCTATGCCACAGTATCAGCCTCCCTAGTTTCTTTTAATTCTATATCCAGTCTCACAGTATTCCTTTTCTTGTATTGTTTTAAAATACATTGGTCCCCGCCTTATCCTTATAAGATTTGTTCCAAGACCCTCAGTGGATTCTGACACCTCAGCTAGTACCAAACTCTTTATACAGTATGCATTTTTCCCCATATACTATATACATATGATAAAGTTAATTTATAAATTATAGATAAAGTAAGAGATTAGCAGCAATAACATAATAAAATAAAGCACTTATAACAATATACTATGATAAAAGTACTTCTTTTACATTTTTGGGTTAAAGGAAGCACCTATAGTTTCCATTTGCCATTTCTGAATTGCTAGCTAGCATCAGAACTCTTGCACTTCAGGGCAATTATCAAGTAAAATAAGGGTTTCTTGAGGGGCTGGTGTTGTGGCACAGGGTGTTAAGACACCACCTGCGATGCCAGTATCCCAAATGTGTGCCTGTTTGAGTCCTGGCTGCCCACTTCTGATCCATCTCCCTGCTAACCTGCCTAGGAAAGCAGCTGCAGATGGCCCAAGTGTGTGGATCCTTGCCATCCATGTGGAAGACCTGGATAGAGTTCCAGGATTCTGGCTTCTGCTTGGCCCAGCCTCTAGCCCAGCCCCAGCCATCGCAGACATTTGGAGAGTAAATCAGTGGATGAAAGATCTTTGTGTCTCTTCTCTCTCTGTAACTCTGCCTTTCAAATAAACAAATAAATCTTTTTTAAAAAGGTAAGGGTTACTTGAACACAGACACTGTGATACCATGGCAGTCTGATGACAGAGACAGCTAGGAAGTAGCTACTGGGCAGGTAGTATATATGTATAGCTCAGATAAGCTAGACAAAGGATGATTCACAGTCTGGGTGGGATGGAGCAGGACTGTGAAAGATTTTATCATGCTACTTAAAAGGCCAGGTAATTCAAAACATATGAATTGTTTATTTTTAGAATTTTCCATTTAATATTTTTGAACCATGGTTTGTTAGAGGTAACAAATGGGGTCTCCTCGTACATAACTGCAGAGCTGGGGGTGGGGACAATGGCCTGCTTCTCCTAGTTGGCAGCGGTGCTTCATGAACAAGGCACTGGGGAGAGGAAGTGGCTCTTCTAGAACTTAAACCTTACCATCAGGCTCAGGGCAGTGAGGGTCCCAGGGTCCTGGGCTTGGTGCCTGAGGTACAATCTCTACCACATGGAGTATCAGCAGGCAGCTTCCAACAGAGTTACAAAGAGAGGTAGAGATAGAGAGAGGTCTTCCAACTACTGGTTCATGTCCCATATCGCTGCAATGGCAGGAGCTGAGCTGATCTAAACCCAGGAGGCAGGAGCTTCTTTTGGGTCTCCCACATGGATGCAGGGGCCCAAGCACTTGGGCTGTCTTCCACTGCTTTCCCAGGCCATACCAGAGAGCTGGATTGAAAGTGGAGCAGCCAGGACTTGAACTGGCGCCCAAATGGGATGCTGGCGCTGCAGGCCAGGGCTTTAACCCAATGTGCCACAGCTTCTAACCTCTTGTCAACATTCACCTTGAATTTATGGGGGGGGGTGGATTAGAAGTGCTGATGACTTGCCCTTCGTGGGGAGATACCCTAGTGCTGGCCTGGGTGCTGGGGGAAGATGGTGCCACACCTATTGGGAATGGCTTTTGTCACTCAGAGTGGGCAAAAAGAGGGAGTGGGTCAAGTGCTACAGATCTCACTGGCCTTACCAACCCTTAGCAGATGTTCTTGGATAAATGTTTCTTCATTTTCAGCATGCCCTACGGCAATTTTCAGAACTTTTCAATGGCTTTTTTTGGGGGGAGGATGATTATTGTTATTTTAATAATTTTTATTTATGATGATTGTTTCACTCAGAAGAGAGATGCTGAGCTCCAGTGCCTTTCAACAAATCCCTTTTGCACTTTGCTTTTTTCGTTTAATGATGTAGCTGGAACATTACTTCACATCGATTCATAAATCTTCCTCATTCTTTTATAGAGACAGAGCACTTTGCAGATGTGTCACTGTTTGTTCAACCAGTCTCTCATGCAGAGAATTTAGGTTGTTTCCAATATTTTGCTATTAAATATAATATTGCAGTGAGCCACCCTGTTCTCATGTGGTGCCATAATGGTGGAGGTGGAGAGTCAAGGTAGAGTCCTAGAGTAACATTGCTAGGATAAGAAGTAAGTGCATTATGTACATGGCTGGATATTGTCAAATTCCCCGCTTTAATGGTTGTACCATATAGACTTCCACCAGCAATGTACAAAAGTACCTGCTCTGTCCACACAGCAGACTCAAAGAAGGACAATCACTTTATATAATACTCTGACCTCAGAATCAGAACTTAAGGCATTTTGGTCTGGCTGAAAAGTCCATGAGAGCATTTCAGGCATGGAAAGCCAAGACACTGTGGCAAAAAAAAAAAAAGTCTTATATGAAGTATCTCTGTGAGAGAGACCCCAGTGGAAAGAAGTGGTCATCAAAGAAGGCTATGCTTTTTTCTGAAGGGAGGAGAGAACTTCCACTTTGCTTAGGGCCTTGTCTAAATACTGATGGAGATTGTGAATTCAGAAGGCTTCCATAACCTTAGCAGCTCATGTCAAGAGCCTCAGGTGATCACTGATGTCATACATAAGAGTGTTAATTGTTAAATTAACAACAGGAGTCACTGTGTACTTACTTCCAGTGCAGGACTTTTGTCCTCAATGAGTTATAGTATGAGAATTAACTATAAAACTTATCCTCAAACAGCTTTTTTTTTGGGGGGGGGGTGTGCGCAAATTATTGAAATCTTTACTTAGTGTGGAGTTGGTCTTCTGTGTATAAAGTTAATTGAAAATGAACCTTAATGGAGAATGGGACTGGGAATGGGAGGAGGAGGAGGAGGAGGTGTGGTGGGGGTGAGAGTGGGAGGGGGGGTATGGTGGGAAGAATCACTGTATTCCTCGAGTTGGTGCTTGTGAAATTTGTACTCATCAAATAGAAGGTTTCTTTGGGAAAAAACAGGAAAAAAAAGTATCTGCTTGCCCATAGCCTCTCCAACAGAGTCATGTGGGTTTTTTCCCCAATTTTTACCAATCTGATAGGAAGAAATAGTAATGAAGCATAGTTTAAATTTACATTTCTCCAATTATGAGACTGAATATCTTTACATTTTTAAAGATCATTTTACTATACTTTCATGAATTATTCATATCTTCTGTTTTTTTTTTCTATGGAGATTTTGGACCTTTATTCTTCAATTGTCTAAAAATATTGGTTATACTAGCCCTTTATCTGTAATATATGCCACAAACATTTTATCCTAGGTTATCAGGTGCTTTTTTTTTACTTTGTTTATGGTATTTTTTCCCCACTCAGAAGTTTAATTTTATATGGAAAATATTTTTAAAGATTTATTTATTTGAAAGGCAGAGTTACAGAGAGAGAGAGAGAGAGAGAGAGAGAGTTCTATCCACTGGTTCACTTCCCAAATGGCTGCAATGGCCAGGGCTGGGCCAGGCTGAAGCCAGGAGTCTGGAACTCTATCCTGGTCTCCAATATGAGTGGCAGGGCCCAATCACTCAGGCTATCTTCTGCTGCTTTCCCAGGCACATTAGCAGGAAGTGGATTGGAAGTGAAGTCGAGATTTTAACTGGTGCTCATATGGGATGCTGGTAGCAGATAGCAGCTCGACCCACTGTGCCATATTCCCAGCCCCATATGTGGACAAATTTATCAATCTTCTTTTTTTGCTCCTGCACTTGAGTCATAGGTTCAAGGTCTTTCTGTGCACTAAGATTGAAGAGGGAATTACCCATATTTTTCTCTAATAGTTAACATGTTTTCATTATTGTTTTCCATTTGTTCTCTGATCAGTTTAGAGTTTATTCTTGTGCAGGAAGTGAGATATGGATATAATTTTACCTTTGTCCAGAAGCCTACCCAGTTGCACCAGTCCAGTGATTTAGAATGCGATTTTTATCATATACAAATTTCCATGTCAACTATAGTCTGTTTCTGGAATTTCTATTAAATTCCAATGATCATGTAGCCTGTGCATCAGTATTAATTTCTTTACTTAAAAAGACTTTATTTCATATATTAATACCCAGTAGAGGGAGGTACCCCATACTGTTCTTTTTCAGTGGTTTTTCTTTTGGACAATGGGTATTCTTAAATGTTTGTTTTTCTATATGAATTTTAGTATATACTTTAGTAGAGATTTATTTTTGTATTTGAAAGGGAGAGACAGAGACAGAGACAGAGGGAGAGAGAGAGAGAGAGGGAGAGAGAGAGAGAGAGAGATATTCCATCTGTTCATTTCACTCCCCAGATGCCCACGATAGCCAGGGATGGGCCAGGTTGAAGTCAGGAACCAGAAACTCCATCCAGATTTCCCACAGGGGGGCAGGATCCCAGGTACTTGAGCCATCATCTGCTGCCTCCCAGGATAGGCTAGCAGGAAGCTGGATTGGAAGCAGAGGAGCTGGGCTTGAAGCAGCACTGATATGGGTTATGGATGTCCTGAGTGTTGGCTTAACTCCACTACATCACAACACTGGCCCCTGGGTTACAATTTTAAGTGTTGTTTCTGTTCCATTTCTTTGTTTTTCTTCTTCAAGGACTTCAATTTTATAAATAATTGTCTTCCTCCGCATCCCCCCCCACTTTTCTTTCCTTCATTTTCATTTTTAATGAATGTATTCCTGTCTTCCTTTCCAGCTAGACCCTCATCAGTTGGTGTTTACTTTTGTTTCCTACTTAAAAAAAATGTTTAGGGGAGGGGGCATTATGGCATAGTGAATAAAGCCACTGCTTGTGACACAGGCATCCCATATTGGCCCTGGTTCATGTCCTGGCTGCTCCACTTCTGATCCAGCTCCCTGCTAATGCCCTGGGAAAAGCAGTGGAAGATGGCCCGAGTGTTTGGGCCCCTGTGACCCACATGGGGGATGCAGATGGAGTTCTAGGTTCCTAGCTTTGTCCTGGCCTGGCTATTATGGCATTTTGGGGAGTGAACTAGTGGATGGAAGATCTCTCTCTGTCTGTTTCTCTGTAACTCTGCCTTTCAAATAAATAAAATAAATCTTAAAAAAATAATTTATTATATGAGAGGCAGAGAACAAGAGAATGAGAAATGTGGAAGAGAGTTCCCATCCATAGGTTTATTCCTCAAATGACCGCAACAGCCAGAACTGTGCAAGGGCCAAAGCCTGGAGCTGGAAATGCAGCACAGGTCTCCCATATGGGTGTCAGGAACCCAACTACATGAGCCATCACCTGCTGCATCCCAGGAAAACTGGAGTCAGAAGCTGAAACTGAGTATTAATCCCAGCAAGGGGTGAGGTGTTTGACACAGTTTGTTGTGGAGATTTTCATTTTCTCTTGGACACGAGAATCATTTCTGTACACATTGCTTCCTACACACTTGTCCTCAAGCTGCACAGCTCAGGCCTTGCTTGCCACCTGGGCATCTCAACAAGATCGTGGACACTGGGTAAGCTTTACTATAACAAATTAGGAGTGGACTGATTCCAGAGAATGTCCCAAGTGGAAGGGTCTTCCAGTCTACAAACCCCAACTCTTTCCTTTCTTCTAAAAATTATAGGGCTCTCAAAATTGGCTGAGCTTGTTGGCTTCGGAGAATTAAGAGTTAGCAAGCCTGAAAGGGACATATCCATAGAAACTGAAGCTGTAACTGGGCCAGGGGTATTTAACCAGAACTAGCCCAGTAATGTGCAGTGCCACCTAGTGGTGAGTCTGTGCCAAAGGGTCTTCTGAAAAATGTGTGTGTCCACGGAAGGGGCCTCCTCAGGAGGGTAGCCCTGCTTTGGATGAGCTATGACAAGGTCTGACAGCAGCTGCTACCCACCTGTGCATTTTCTGACATCTGAAGTCTGTCTTCACTTAGTTTCCTCTTCTGGATGAACAAGGCAACCAGATAAACTTGAGGTTCTCTTTCTGAACTGTGTTTCTTTCTGTGGATCAAAAACCCCCCTCGAAAGCTTCCCCTGATACTTCCTCTTTCTCTACCTGCAAGTAAAGACGATAAGAAAACGAAAGGCTTTATTATGAAATGAGAATTTTGTTCTTGGCCAGTGTGTGTTGTTGTTGGTGGAAACAGAAACAGTTTCCAGATTGCACCATGAGGTTCCCAACAAGCAGCATGCTCGGGAAACAGTCTGAAAATGCTACTTCCTCCATTACCTTTTTTACCTCTTGAATTACGAAAACCACTGTGCAGAATATGTGGAAAATGGGAGGGGGAGCGGCACCCTGTCACCCAGCACAGAGCGCAGGCTTCCGTGTGCCACAGTTTCAGATTCGTTGTCACGTCTTGTTCCGGTGCGATCTTCTGTGGCTGGTGATAAAATATCATTTGCTTGGAAAGACAGCTGCTCAAGCAAGAAAAGAAAAATTGACTCATGGATTATTTCAAACTGGTCACTTGTGAGAGTGGTCAAGTGTCCTTATTCCTCAGGTACACTGGAAGTTAGCAGCACTTGCCAGTTTGTCCGTCTCATGACCAAGAATGATAACTAGTAGTGTAAGTACGTGTTTCCTGTACTACCTCTCAGGACAAACATTTCGTAAGTTTATTGACTGTTTATTTTTTAGAAGATTTATTTATTTGAAAGGCAGAACAACAAAGAAGGAGAGGCAGAGAAATAGAGATCTTCCCTCTGCTGGTTCACTCCCCAAATGCCAAATGCCCTAACAACCAGGGCTGGGCCAGTCTGAAGCTAGGAGCCAAGAACTCCATTCTTGTCTCTCACAGAGGTGGCAGGGTCCCAAGCACTTGGGCCCTCATCTGTGCATTAGCAGCATTAGCTGCGTTCTGAGGTGCATGCAGAAGCTAGCTGGGAAGTGGAGTCACTGGGACTTGAACCTGCCCTCTGATATGGGACACTGGTGTCACAAGTAGCAGCTTAATCTACTGCGCCACAATGCTCTCTCTAGTTTGTTGACTGCTTGCTTTCTCTTTCTATTAATTTTTGTTCCTATTCTTTGCCCATTTTTATTAGTTTGTTTATTTATTCCTTTTTTTTAATTTGAAGGAGTCATTTGTATTTCAGAAATTTTTCGACGTTGTCATATGTTGCAATATGACAAGTCTGTCATCTTTTGGCTTTGACTATAGTATTTTAAATGATTTTGTGCTTGAATCCATCAACTTTTCCTTTAAGGCTGCTAAATTCCCTGTCGTTCTTAGAAGGGCTAATGCTGGCCGGCCAGTGGGTTAAGCTGCTGGTATGATGCTGGCATCCCATATGGGTGCCAAGTTCAAATCCTGGCTGCTCCACTTCTTCTTTTTTAATATTTATTTATTTATTTGTAGTCAGAGTTACACAGAGAGAGGAGAGGTAGAGAGAAAGAGAGAGAGAGAGAGAGAGAGAGAGAGAGAGAGAGAGAGAGAGAGAGAAAGAAAGAAAGAAAGAAAGAAAGAAAGAAAGAAAGAAAGAAAGAAAGAAAGAAAGAAAGAAAGAAAGAAAGAAAGGGGTTTTCCATCTGATGGTTCACTCCCCAGTGGCTGGAGCTGTGCTGATCCGAAGCCAGTAGCCAGGAGCCCTTCTGGGTCTCCCACGTGGATGCAGGGCAGAGAGCCAGATTGGAAGTGGAGCAGCTGGGTCTTGAATTGGCACCCATATGAGATGCCAGCACTTCAGGCCAGGACGTTAACCTGCTGCACCACAGTGTCGGCCCCGTGCTCTACTTCTGATCCACCTCCCTGCTAATGTGCCTGGGAAAGGAGCAGAAGATGGCCCGTGTCCTTGGGTCCCTGCACGCACAGGGGAGACCTGGATGAAGCTCCTGGCTCCTGGCTTTGGTCTGGCTCAGCTCCTGCCATTGCTGCCATTTGGGGAGTGAAC